AAACTAACGAGGAGAATTCGTGATGAGTGTGAGTTTTTACGCTTCCCAAAGCCATAACTTCGTTCAATCTCATGCAATCTGAAAAGTTAATATCTCATCATAAACTAGAAGATTCGCTTTTTTCAACTTTTACTACAGAAATCCTCAACGTGGCCATTTTTTTGAATGCTGGGTACGTCCACCATTCAAAAAAATGGCCACGTTGAGGATTTTTGCCCGAGTACCGCCGAAAGGTACTTTTTCGCTGCATTGGCACTATTTCAACGACTATAGCTCCTTTCAGGGGCGATTATGTACAAGAAGTGGGAGCAAAGTAATTCAAGTGCTGTTCTCTTTATCAAATCTGGAAGTATCCTCACCCGTATTACACGCGTGCTACCGTGCATGTCCTCCTTCTTCACCTGGACTTCTATGTGAACGAAACAGCAATCCCAATCCACTTTTGCTTTGCATACAAACCACCTAATTTTTGGAGTTTGTTTCATTAGGCTATAAAAATATCGTTTCAATGCTATAATGTCTTGGTTACCATAACCTCGGTCGATCTTAAGAATTTTGAAAAAAAATGAGCTGACCTTCACCGGAAATATAACACTTCAAATTATTCAACAAGGGAGAAGTTTTTGACCAATCTAATACGGACCCTGATGTTCACAACAGAATTAAAGCGTACCTTCTATACCAAATCCTGCCTGACCGAGTGGTGCTTCATTGTTTTTTTCGACGGTTTCCTTTTTCGCTGAAGTTGTCAGTGCAAATCTTTTTTCCTGAAGAAGGATCATTTGTGTGCCTTTCACCATTTATCGATATTGTGAGAGCAATTCCATACCTCATCCTCAAGCATCTGATCTCGACAGTGATTAATTATGTTCTCGTCAGTAACCGGTTTCAGAACGTCACATATCTGAAACGCTACTCCATAGAAAGCTGCCGTCCTTGACATGTCTCTGAAATGTAAAAAATATGCTACACAAATACTGTAGATGGACCAAGACATATGCTGCCCGAAACTGGACACGAAATCAGAAAAGTCACAACTTACTAAGAAATTTATTTATAGGATGGTCAGTAGAAGGTGGAAGAAGGGGAAGCCTACCTAGTAGACTAACGGCGGGCCCAGTAATGGTGAGCCCCAACAAGCGATTCGCAGCGAGGGATGTGTCCCAGGCGATCTAGCATGGCCCATCGTCACCACACGCCCCTTCCCGCGTCTCTGGCCGTTTAGAAGGTTGGACCGTTTCTAATGTTTTATCATCATCCGCACCACTGACCATCTCTACCTTAATTACTAATGGGCTGCCTTTTCACTGTGAAATCTGCCTAAAGGAAAGCCCGCTCAATCTTTTCTTGTGAACAGGTGTTGGGCATGGTC